GGTTAGCATTTATTTACTGCTGTTTGCTTGTGGTTAGCATTTAAGGGGTGAAGAGGAAAGTGAGTAAGTGTGTCCTACCATGAATTATATGCCCCTGGAGGTAATGGGCCAGCATCAATGAGTTGAATCCATGATCTTGAAAATAATTATGTTGACAGTTGCATTTTCCACTGTTGTTACATGTACCATTGGTTTGGGAGGCCTGTTGATGCAACAGCACATACTTTAACCTCTGTTATGTTTATATGATACCTTTAGACTATTCAAAAGGATTTGGTGGAAAATACGGAGTTCAGAAGGACAGGGTTGACAAGGTGAGAGTTTGGATTTGGTGTTTTCATAAATCAATTACTATCCAGTTGATCCAATCCTGGAAGGATTCAGGTCAAGACATGAAGAGAGATATAAAGGATCTGTTACTATAATCTTGCTCAGTTGCAGTTAGAATTTTACTTAATATGCAATGAAATCCCCAAATGCACTCTTTTCCATTTTCTGATCTCTCATTTTGTTGCTGCGCTAAATTTCCTATTATGTTATTTTTTATCACTCTCATTACAGGCAGCAGTTGACTGGAACTATGAGGGCAAAACGGAAGCACATGCTTCTCAAAAAGGTTTGTTACATTCAATAGGTCATTGCCATAGAGATAAGACTTGCATTTTGTTTTCATGAGTTTTTATGACTTCAAGGGGATTGATAAAAGAGTAATCCACTTTTTGACTCCTGTGTTTCATTCACCATTTTTTTCTGAAACTCTCGGTCCTTTGGTCGACAAAATGGCAACATGGAAGTTAACAACACAGACTTGGGGTTTTTGATAGTCAAGTATGTGCAGTTACCATGGCAACATAAAATAGATATAAACAGGCCTTTAAAATTGATTTTTTTTTTTTTTATTTCCAGAAAATCTAGTCATTAGATTTTCTTCACCATTTGCATGCAACAGACTGGTAATAATGCTCACAAGTTAACACTATTTTAATAATAGTTTAACAGAGAGACTTTTAATCATCCCTGGTTGAAGGATAACTTGGATATCTAGAATTTTCTCCCATAAATTTTTTTTATTTCAATATTCTGTTTTACTTCCGTTTTACAAATGACTGGATGTCTCTCCCAGTATTTTTAAGAAAAACCTTATAAGGTTCTTAATGGATAAACATTTTTAGGAAAAATGACAGTAGGTAGTTTTGGTAGTTTTAGTAGCTTTAATTATTGTATATTTTATATTTTAGATCTGTGATACTTGTATTTCTTATTTTAGATTTTAATACTTTTTATTTTATAGAGTACCTCCCTGAAAACCACGTATTTACGTGACAGGCGCTTCCCCTTTAAAGATTGTTTTTATTTTTATTATTATTATTTATTATTATTATTATTATTATTATTATTATTATTATTATTATATTCCAATATGGCATGTCATGATGTTTTTTTTGTAATCCTTGTGGACATGCTTAATCGCATAAGCAAGAGGTCACGCAAAAATTGTGTTTGGCCTACAAAAAATGTGGCAAATTTTTTATCAGATTACTCCAACGGATTTGGTAGTATGGTGTTCAAAAGAACGGAGTCAATAAGGTTTCTGAA